ATTTAAGATTTCAGATATAGTTAAGATTTCGAGATAGATTTTAGATCCAGATATATTTTGGATTTAAGTAAGATTTTAGTTTCAGACTTAGAAATATTTCAGAGAACTCTAGTATGCCTCAAAGACAAAAAATTTTGAAAATCAGCTCGTAAATCCCTAAAATGATTTTAAAGTCGAGTGACCGAACCTAGACAACTCAGATAATATAATTCGAGTTTTTAGTTTAAGATAAGTACTTAAAATATATTTTGTGCTTATATATTTGGTAGCTTGTGGAGAGTCGAGCCTCCGACAGTTGCAAACCATTCAGCACCTGCATTTCAACATATCAGGTGGGGACCCTGTACTGGGTATTACATCTTTTATAATCGCCATACCATGGTTGAGGTATGTATGTGAGATTCCACTCGAATAGGGGCAATTACCTAGCGAGTAGATCCTTTCTAGCTAGGTGAATCGAACGCTAGTTAAGATGAGATAAGAATTCTAGTGCAGCTTTGTGTTAAGTGAATTAAGAACCCTAGAGCAGCCTTGAGTCAAGTCTAATTTCAGATTATCTTAGAATAATTCTTTCCTAAGGGACATTGATCTAGAGATAAGTTTCGTCATAACCAAGTGTTTCAAATCCACAGTTAGTATCAAGGACTCTAGTGCAGTTGTGAGTTAAGCTCCAACCTTAGAAGTGTATAAGAGTTAGTTTTACCCTAGTAAGTGGCAACGACCTACAGATTAGGTCCTACAATTGCTTATCGCGAGCGTTAAGACCAAGTGTCCTTCTCCAGTTAAGCAATCAGTTGAGCAGTAATTATAGATAGCCAGTTGAGCAGCCGTTATAGACAGTACAATTATTTGTACGCTTTTGTGATGTGTTCTATCATATTAGATGTATGCTTAGGTTGTGATGTGTTTTTATGTTGCTTAAGTTGTGACGTGTTTTTATCATATTAGATGTATGCTTAGGTTCGCGATGTGTTTATCATACCAGAGGGTCATTTAGTTCGCGATGTTGCAGATGTAGTCAGTCAGCCGAGCAACATTTATAGCTAGTAAGTTGAGCAGCAATTATAGTTAGACAGTTGAGCAGTCATTTATAGTTAGTCAGTTGAGCATCAATAATAGTTAGTCAGTCGAGCAGCAGCTATAGTTATCCAGTCGAGCAGAAATTATAGACAGTCAGCGGAACATCAGTTGCAGGCAGTCAGCTAAGTAGCAGCTTCAGATAATTTGCCGATTTAAGTGTTTATTGGATGAATTCCTAATCTGTTAGTAAAATGTTCATCTTCATATCGTTTTCTGCCGACCCAGTAAGTACTTGCATATATGCCAATGTCATGATATGTTATTATATTAGCTGTATGTTTCAGTTGAGCAGTCATTTATAGTTAGTCAGTTGAGCATCAATAATAGTTAGTCAGTTGAGCAGCAACTATAGTTATCCAGTCGAGCAGAAATTATAGACAGTCAGCGGAACATCAGTTACAGGCAGTCAGCTAAGTAGCAGCTTCAGATAATTTGCCGATTTAAGTGTTTATTGGATGAATGCCTAATCTGTTAGTAAAATGTTCATCTTCATATCGTTTTCTGCCGATCCAGTAAGTACTTGCATATATACCGATGTCATGATATGTTATTATATTAGCTGTATATTTTAGTGTCGGTTCCGACGGAGCACGTGGATTATTTATGCTCACGCCCCCCCACTAACCATTTTTCAGGTGACGGTGTCGAGCGTGGAGTGTGAGCCGATGATGTGGTGGTGGTCATAGCAAAGATATTTTTAGTAAACCTGTCATGTATATTTTAACATGTTTGAGCTGTTATGTTTTGTTGATGCATGCTACATTTTCTTCCGCACTCAATATTTCAGTATCTAAAATTTCAGTCTATGCATGCTTAAATCCTGAGATGTTCAGAGTAATGAATTGTACTCGGTTGCATGCCTAGAAGTTTAAAGATATTAAAGATTAAAGATTTAAGATTAAAGTTGAGTAGCATCCCGCATATTAAAGTTAAGGTATTTGCGAAAAATTAATATGAGTCTTCGAAAATTAAAATAGAGTTTTTCTTTTATAGCGTGAAAAATTTACTCTGATTTTAGTAAGTTTAGGCGGGGTGTTACAGTAAGAGAAAGAGAGGATCAAATGGGAAGGTGAAAACCTTCCAAGCTGGGCTTGTTTCGAAAGGTTATACCCAGAAAGAGGGTATTGATTATGATAAGACCTTTTCGCCAGTAGTTATGCTTAAGTCCATTCAGATTCTTTTGGCTGTAGCCGCTCATATGGATTATGAGGTCTGACAGATGGATGTCAAGACGACTTTACTTTTTGGAAACCTTCAGAAGGACATCTAAATGCAGCAACTAGAGGGATTCATTGCTAAGGGACATGAGCATCTTGTGTGTAAGCTTAATTGGTTTAGTTATGGACTAAATCAAGCTTCGAGATCTTGGAACATCTGGTTCGATGAGGTGATCTAGTCGTACGGGTTAACTCAATGTCTGGATGAGCACTGTGTGTACAAGAAGATCAGTGGGAGCATGGTGGTGTTTCTTTTGCTTTATGTAGACGACATATTTCTTAATGGAAACAGTGAGAATAAGTTATCAAATGTAAAGGTGTGGTTGTCTAAGCAGTTTGATATGAAAAACTTAGGTGAAGTAGGACACATTCTTAGTATTCGGGTCATTTGAGATTGTAATATGTTGAGCTTATCCCAGTCTACATACATTGATACTGTCTTGGCTAGAAAGGTTTGTTACCTTTCAGACATGGACTAGGTCTATCCAAGAAGATGTCTCCTTAGACGTCTCAATAAAAAGAAGACATGAAGACAATTCCTTATGCATCGGTAGTAGGAAGTCTTATGTATGCCATGTTGTGTACTAGGCCGGATATTAGCTACCTCATTGAAATGGTAGCTAGATATCAAAGTAATCCGGGACAGGAACATTGGTCTGCGGTGAAACGGATACTCAAGTACCTGAGAAGGACTAAAGAGTACATGGTAGTTCACCGTGCAGACAGATTGTTACCTCTGGGTTACTGTGATTCCCATTTCCAGTCAGACAGGGACGAGAGTAAGTCAACCCCAGGATATGTGTTTACATTTGGAGGTGGAGTAATTTCATTGAGGAGTGCTAAGCAAAAATGCGTAGCAGACTCCACCATAGAAGACTAGTACATAGCAACCTCAGAAGCAGCGAAAGAGGCAATTTGGCTCAGGAACTTCTTGGTGGTCTTAGCGGTGATTACGAGTTTGCCACGTAGTATCACCTTGTACTGTGATAAAAGTGGATCAGTAGCAAACTCAAGGGAACCACGAGCCCATAGAGTAAGCAAACACATTGAGCGCAAGTACCGCCAAATACAAAATATCTTAGGAAGAGAAGACGTCGAGGTTGCCAAAATTGTATCTGAGGACAACCTAGCTGATCCTTTCACGAAGAGGTTGCCCGAGAAGGTCTTCGTCAAACATGTGGAAGGAATGAAAGTCAGATGTATGGCGATATGATCAACATAGGTCTTTTAGAATAATAGATTGATAGGACTATACTTGTATAAGTGAATGCTTTAAGTATAAGTGGGAGATTATTGGTGTTATATACTGAAAACTTGAATTTGGATACACTTTTTCCCTTGATGATTGACTAGCATGTTCGATTAAACAAGTTCTATGTTCTGTTGTTTTGCACTTAGATAAAATATTTCATCACGGATGGACAAAAGATCATTTTATCAGTCACTTGAGAAACACGAATTAATGGTCTTGACTGATTAGTTGCACTAGTACATTTATGTATTGAACAAGATCATTTATGTATTGTACTCGAATTTTTAAATATTTATGCAATTTAAAATTAATCCCATACAAAAACAATAATGGATTAACATGCATGGTAATTCATGTAATTCTAAATTATTCTCATGCAAAAGCAATATTAATTAACATGCATAAATAAATAAATAAATAATCAATTGGCATAATAAATTTTAAATTAATAAATCCACTATTATGACCATTAATTATTGAGTCTCATTAAACAAGAAAAACTTATCAGATCATTTCTTTGTCCAATTGGACCTCCTACTGCAGTAGAATCCTGGTAGATGTTGTACTGCTTGTCCAACAAGAAAATCGTCTGCCACCAGCCGTCGCCGCCGCTAGTCGCCAGAAAAACCTACCGATTTTTTTTCTTTTCTCCGCGCACTGGTCGCGCGGACTGCCGCCGACCGGCCTCCTCCTCGCCGCCATTCACCGTTGCAACACCGCCGCCTGGCCAGCTCGCCGTGCGGCTCCCAGCAAAATTTTTTACAGCAATATTTATCAATGTTGAAATTTTCTGATTACTAATTTAACAACTTATATTCCTATTTTATATTATAGTTATACAATTACAAAAAGAAAAAAAATAATTTATATAGAAATCAAATAATCTATATTTATATTATACATTTAAATATAGTCAAAATTTTAAAATGTAATACACACTTTATCTATTGTTAATTTTTAAATATCATATAATTACACATAATATATAACTTTTGTTTCCCTCTCTTTGTACATGATCTAGTATTATTAGTATTTTTTTATTATTTATCATACATATCGATTCCTTCACATATCATCCTCAAGCAACCCAATTGTCCTCCGGTACGGTTATTAGCACCGAAAATGAAAATGCTTTGAGAAGTTCCCTAAACATATTCATCCCTTTTCTTTTTTAGCAAAAACTGGAGAAAAAAAAGTTAAAACGGAAAATACTTGCACATAATATCTTGAGCAATCATCTCAATTTTCCAATCATTTTAAGGAAAATCCTTTTTTTTTTCCTGGATTACTTTGACCTTCAATCTAATTATCCTCCATTTTTTAGCCCTAAAACCCACTTTCTTCGTAAATCGATTGAAAAACGCCATTCAAAACCCTCGAGCTCGTAGATACCTTTGTTAATTCAGTGTTTGGAGGTACAACGTTAGAATTGTTTCACGATATCTGAAAGGATGAGCGGGCAGAAGAAGAGGAATTTTCAGATTGAAGCGTTTAAACACAAAGTGGTGGTGGATCCCAAGTATGCGGACAAGACTTGGAAGATTCTGGACCATGCGATTCATGAGATTTATAATCACAATGCTAGCGGTCTCAGCTTTGAAGAATTATACAGGTTTTCTTTTATTTGTTTGTTTGTTTCTTGTACTTTTTTGCTTTTTATTTTGCCGATTCCTTGCAGTTTGAGTTCTCGGATGAATTTGGATATTTATGGTGTTGGTTTTGTGGAGTTTTTATCTGGGTTGATTTACTGAATGACTTATTCGGGAACTATTTTATGTTCAATTGTTTCTAATTATTCTGATAACTTAGTTTGCTTTACTAGCTATGTTGATTGTACGCTTTAGTTCTTTGTGGATGTTTGGTGTGGAACTTCATTTTTATGTGAGTCCACTTTTTTCTACTGCCTAGCTGCTATGTTCAAGATTAGTAGCTAAAATATGTTTCTGAGGTGGAGTTTCTTTTCTCATGGGAACCAACATTTTCTCGAAGTTTAGTTTCCTTAGCTTATACGTACATGCATCTGAGGTTTGATCTAGATCTTTGAAATCTCTTACAACTTTCCAGTTAAGGGTTTGTTTCAGGTCTAATAAATCAGTATTACAAAATTTTTGCATTGGTGGCGCCATGTTGGTATGGCGTGGCTGAGATGCTGAGTTTCGCCTGACCGGCATTAAGAATTTGTGAATGATGGTGCTTATGGTGGTGGCGCCTTTGGTCGCTAAAGCGGGATTCTGCTTCAGCTTGCCGCCATCCGTCATCGATAACACTGAAATGATTACCGTATATGTTTTTATTCTTTGGTATGTCTTATTTGTATTTCACTTGGTATGGGACATGCTTTGCTATGACAAAGTTCTAGCAGTTTGAGATTTTGCACTTTTCCTTTTGATGATGAATGTGGTGGCCTTTTCATGAATTTGAGTAGCATGTAGTTTTTTAGATTCTTTTAACCTCTTTTACTGTGCTACGGACACCAGTTTTATATTTGGAAAGATTGTTCCCATCATTTGACTGATTGCACAGATGACATGAATATCTTCGGAACAACAAGGATACAGGATTTGGTTGTGATTTGAGCTTTCAGCCGTTTTTCTTGTGGTTACCATGAATAAAGTATTTTGGTGTTGCCCCCAAGACGAAATAGAGAGTGAAAGATGGAAACATGTTGAAAATATTTGCTTAAAATGGAAAATACTGAGCTTCTAGATTTAACTGAAATGCTCATGTATTCATTTGAAGTATCACTGAGGTGCATAAAATGCTTTCTATGCTTGGAAAGTTGAACAAGGCAAAATACTATGTAGATTGTTAATGCTTACAACTCTGGAGAAATTTGTACGATGGTAAGAGGGTAAAACGGGCATCCCACGCAAAAGGCGGATAGGATCGTTTTCTCAGCGCACTCGTTTAGTCCTTTAGCTAAGATTTATATTTAAAAATTTTCACTATACCAGCTTGAGCTCGACCACGTACAATTTTGGCAGGAATGGTAATAGTTTCTTCACTTTGTGGTGTCATGAGTTGGTTTCATTTGCAGATTTTGATGCATGGTACAAGTAAAATACCAGTACCACTAATGCCACCTGGTAATTTCTAATTGCTGTTCTACTAGAGAGATAATGTTCGAGTGCTGCACTTTAGTTCACACTCCACCCAAATGGTTGTTCATGCTTGGGATGATTTGGTCCCCCTAGCAAATTACCTTTTTCTTTTTACCTTTTCTAGTACACTGGCTTTCATTACCTGCTGTATTTTGGCAGTTTTCTTTACTGCAAAATACAAATGTATAGATTCATTACCTGCTTGTGTCTCCTTTTTTATTGATTCTTGGTGCTAACATTAGTTTTCTGATGTTATTTGTGGATTGCAACATATCATCTCATGTCAAGATTGAGAATGTTAATATACAGTAAGTGCCTTAGCTCTTAATCACCAATCGTACCATGTTAATGATTCGACATCCACAGAGAAACTTTCCGTGAAAACTCAAGGTACTGTGATATGAGAAACTAGGGAGTTAATAAGAAGAATCAATGCTGTATTGTAGGTTTCTAAGGCATTGATATAGGAAAATATTAATTTGGTCGTTATTCTTCATCCAGTCTTGAAATTAGATACCAAAAAGGAAAAAAGAATCTCGGTGAGTGGATATGGTTTTTCTGGCTTAGATATCTCGTGATGTGAATTATGTTTCAAATGAGTCGGAAAGTATGAGTAAATGATGCAAAGTTGGCCTTCTTTGTTTCTGTACTGGGCAATTGCACATGTGCCCACTACTGTGGCTTTCATCTCTAATCAGGATTTTGTTCTCTCTTTTGAACATCCAGAAATGCCTACAATATGGTACTGCATAAATTCGGGGAAAAGCTCTACTCAGGACTTGTGTCGACCATGACCCTCCACCTCCAGACAATGGCCAAATCCATAGAGGCTGCACAGGGCCCACTGTTCCTTGATGAGCTCAACTCTAAATGGAACGACCACAACAAGGCTCTCCAGATGATTCGCGATATCCTCATGTACATGGACCGCACCTTCATTCCCAGCACCCATAAAACACCCGTCCATGAGCTCGGGCTCAACCTCTGGAGGGACAACGTGGTCCACTCCACAAAAATCCAGCCGCGCCTCCTGAACACAATCCTTGACCTCATACTCCGGGAGCGCTCAGGCGAGGTCATTAACCGAGGCCTCATGCGTAACATCGTCAAGATGCTGATGGACCTGGGACCCACGGTCTACCAGGAGGATTGATGTATCGGCCGACTTCTATAGGGCTGAATCCCAGGAGTTCATCGAGTGCAGCGACTGCGGGGAGTATCTCAAGAAAGCCGAGAGGCGTCTCAATGAAGAAATAGACAGGGTTTTCCATTACTTGGACGGGAGGAGCGAGCCTAAAATCACGAATGTGGTCGAGAAAGAAATGATTGCCAACCACATGCTCAGGCTTGTCCACATGGAGAACTCGGGCCTCGTGAAGATGCTCCTTGATGATAAAATTGAGGACCTGGGGCGAATGTACAATTTATTCCGCCGGGTCCCCAATGGCCTCTCCACCATCCGGGATGTGATGACGTCGCACATACGGGAGACGGGCAAACAGCTCGTGACCGATCCCGAGAAGTCGAAGAACCCTGTTGAGTTCGTTGACACCCTCCTTGGGAAACGGGACAAGTACGACCACATCATAAACAACGCATTTGGCAATGACAAGACCTTCCAAAATGCCCTCAGCTCATCCTTTGAATATTTTATCAATTTAAACCCGCGCTCGCCTGAGTATGTGTCACTGTTCGTGGACGACAAGCTGCGCAAGGGGCTCAAGGGAGTGAAGGAGGAGGACATCGAGATTGTCCTCGACAAGGTCATGATCCTTTTCAGGTATCTACAGGAGAAGGACGTTTTCGAGAAGTACTACAAGCAGCACCTAGCCAAGCGGCTGCTCTCAGGCAAAACGGTGTCAGACGATGCCGAGAGGAGCCTGATAGTGAAGCTGAAGACTGAGTGCGGGTACCAGTTCACGTCCAAGCTGGAGGGGATGTTCACAGACATGAAGACGTCCCAGGACACGATGCAGGACTTCTATGGGTCCCACGGGTCCGAGCTGGCGAGCTACCCCACGTTGGTTGTCCAGGTGCTGACTACCGGATCATGGCCGACACAAACGAGCCAGACCTGCAACCTGCCATCTGAGCTGTCCGCCCTGTGCGAGAGGTTCCGATCGTACTACCTGGGAACTCACACGGGCCGACGGCTGTCGTGGCAGACCAACATGGGGACGGCCGACCTGCGGGCAACTTTTGGGAATGGACAGAAGTATGAGTTGAATGTGTCGACTTACCAGATGTGTGTGTTGATGCTTTTTAACAACACCGACCGGCTCACATATAGAGAGATTGAGCAGGCCACCGAGATACCTCCATCCGACCTGAAACGGTGCCTGCAGTCCTTGGCGTGCGTGAAAGGCAAAAACGTCCTGCGCAAGGAGCCCATGAGCAAGGATATAGGAGAGGAGGACACATTTTCTGTGAATGATAATTTCACGAGCAAGCTCCGCAAGGTGAAGATCGGGACTGTGGTGGCCCAGAAGGAGTCAGAGCCTGAGAAGCAGGAGACGAGGCAGAGGGTCGAGGAGGATAGGAAGCCACAGATTGAGGCTGCCATTGTTAGGATCATGAAGTCGAGGAGGGTTTTGGATCACAACAATATTATTGCAGAGGTCACTAAGCAGTTGCAGTCCAGGTTTTTGGCTAATCCCGGGGAGATCAAGAAACGGATCGAGTCACTTATCGAGCGGGAGTTCTTGGAGAGGGATAATGGGGATAGAAGGTTGTACCGTTACCTCGCATGATGGGAATTTCGATTTGGTTTTCCTTTTTTTTTTCTTCCTTTTCCAGGTTAGTTTTTGTTTTTCTTTTCCGTTCCCATGGATGGTCACTGGGTGGACTTGTTTCAGATATTTCCTTTGTTTTTGCCAACTGGAAGCTAATATTCATGGGAATTGGTGGACTTGTTTCAGATATTTCCTTTGTTTCGGCAAACTGGAAGATATATTTGTTTCTAATCAAACTTTTTTGCATATTTATTATTGGCTACAGTACTACGACCCATCATGTTGAACTCCATATGATTATGTAAGAAATATGCAGAGATGAGTTTTTTGTTTAAAAATCTTGGTTGTCTTCTTCTTCGACTTTTCCATTTGGATCGAAGATTCTTCTCTATTGAAATATACGATACGCTAAAGCATATGTGTGTGCACAATCCACCTCTCCATCCTACCCGAGCATGGCTTAATATAAAGGCATGCTAATGTATAGAAGATCCAAACACGTGATAAAAAAGATCATGAAATTTTGACAGAGTATGGCATTTTCCTTT